GAAAAGGGCTAAAGGTGTAGGGAAAGTGGGAAGGGTAGGGGAAAGGTAATAAGGGAAAAGAAAAAAATAGGAGAAAATGAAAAAATGGAAATAAAGTGTTTGTAAATGGGTAGGGGAGGAGGGGGTGAAGGGAGGGCAGGGACAAGGGGAAAAAATGAGAACCAAAACCTGTCATGTAAAGGTACAAGATCCCAATAATGAATGTAACTGTACTGTATACCTAAAATGTACCAATAAACTCAATTTTTTAAAAAAGCTCAATTTAGAAGCTCTCCTAGGTCTTTGTCCCTTCTGGCATGCCATGGCTCAGAGTGCAATCACTTTGTTGGATGACTGACCATAAACCAAGCCTTACTCTGAAGTTCATATTTATCAAAACCTTTGGGATATTTACATGCATCAAAACTACTATTTCACATGGACTGAACCCATGATATGGAATGTGGACTACACATTCCAAGATACAGTACTTCAGACTTTCTGCTGAACCTGCCCAGTGGAAGCCCAGCATTATTCTTCTAGCACCCACCTACAACAGCCCATGGCTCTGTCCCTTTTTTGTCACATTCCCATTATTTCCTGCTTACACTACTATTCTATATTTTTCTGCACTTCAGTGCCAACTATCTTCAACAAACACACAGTGTTAGAGCTCAGTATTTTCAGTTCTAGATTTTCTTTTCTTAGTTTTGTTCTCAAGGCAGTAGACTGTTTTCTCTAATACCTTTGGCTTTAGGGAAAAGAAAGATCTGATTAGTGCGAGGGTATGTCTCTAGGATTCTAAGGGTAGGAATGCAGAATTCTGAAAATAACATTTGGGCTGAAACACACCAGGATCCATTGTACCAGCAATGAGACCTTAAGTTTGTTTTGTTTTGTACTAGGAATCGAACTCAGGACCTTGCACTTGCAAGGCAAGCAGCGGCACCACTGAGCTAAATCCCCAGCCTGAGACCTTAAATTTTTAAACTTCAATACCGTAGTAGTCTTTTTTCTTCACTGTACTGAAATTCCTGGGGCAGGCTACTTTGTAAAGGGAAAAATACTTATTTTGACTCAGATCTAGAGGTGTCAGGCCCGGGGCCACATCTGGTAATGGCTTTCTTGATGGCAGAGTCCCAAGACAGCACAGAGCATCACATGGCAACACACAGGGACTGCACCCGTGTACGTGTCTGGCTTCTCTGCCACTCATAAAGCCACCAGGACTCAATACCGGAAGCTGTGCCCCAAATGCAGAAGCTTACCCTCCTGTGGCAGAAAACCTATCCCTGGTAAAGGTTTACTTAGCCTGAGGTTCAAGAAGCATCATTAGGTTTTCAAAGGCCTCAACATTTCTCTCCATTACCATGGAGCTGATGGTGTTCTACATTCAAATAATAGGCCAGTTCTCATGCAGAGACCATGCAAGAATGTGGTATATACTAACCAAGAATTGATATCTTCTTTACTAAAGCACGCAAAAGCACTTAGCAATAACAACTTGGCAACCTTAAGATACATGCCTTTATAATGAGTATCACTTGTAAAACTTCAGACTCATCCTAGAACACCTCCAAAAAAAATCCAAGATGTGATAGATATCCAAATATACTAATAAAAAACAAAGTTTATCATTTTGTTTATTAGCAGAAAAAACAACATAGGTTTTTTTCTAAAACAAAAAGAATTGAAATGGATAATACTAATTTAAATATAGCTTCATCAATCAATCTCCTTAACAGAATTTCCTAATACAGGACATGGGCGTGTGTTTACTTTTTACCTTAACCAATTCTGTAGCACCTATAGCCACTGTGGTCCTTACAACAAACAGATGACTATGACACAGGCATTTGTCTGACTACAGATGTAGCTATAATCAGTGCTGGGCAGTCAGCAGTTTTTCAAACACCTGTTAATACAAAAGCTATTTTTGGGATTGCGAAGAATTTCATTCTGGGTCTGAATATGCTGGAACACAAGGCATGTCTCAGAAAAACAAAGTACACATTTCTGTTAATCAAACCCTAAGCTCACCTACATCTTGCTGATACGCCTCCATCACTAACTGCTTTAACTATCCATACGATACATCCTGAGTTTTGTTGCCTTCTATGGAGCACACCTGAGCCAGTTGTCACAGCCTAGATACTTTTCTATTTCTCCTCTTTGGGCCAGTTTCACATGCAGTGGAGCATGGATGTTACCTCTGTCCCCAAAACCCTTCACAAATATGTGGTTGTCCTTCAATAAGATATATGAAGGGGACTGGGATTTAGCTCAGGGGTGCCGCCGCCTGCCTCTCAAGCACAAGGTCTGAAGTTCGATCCCCGGTACCAAAAAAATAAAATAAAGTAAACCCCCGAAATACATGAAGGCTCCTCTCTGGCTGGCATCTCTTCTCTCTCTTCCCCTCCCCTCCAGTGCCCTCCCCCATCTTCTAAATTCCCCACCATATTCTCCCAATTCCAATAAACAATCCCCAGAACTTTTCTTGTCTTCTACCATAATACATAGACCTACAACTGATCTAAATTAGCAGTATGTGGTACTGCATTTGAAAAACATTACATAACATTTTATCAGACTGTATCCATAAAATATCTTAAGGGCTTACTAAGTAAATCTGTGTGTTTATATACAATTATGGACACAATGAGTGCTAGGAGGGTAATAGAAGATAAGATATAATTAAGATTTCAATTACATAGCACTACTGAGAATGGTATCTCACACTTATTTTCAATTTTTCATGAACTACTACTACAATAATTACAGTAAGAATTCAGCCATAAATCAATAAAAGCAAGAGAAGAAGGCAATGTCAGGTTTGATGTGGGCCTTGCCTTACTTGAAATGAAGAAAGCAAAAATGAAGAGACTAAGAGCAAGGCAAACTGTCTCTATAAACCTCAAAACAGCTCTATTGAAAATTATTCATCATGACATTCATTTCAAAGCTATCAAATAAAAGCTTTACAAAAGTAGAAGGTACAGTATATAATAATGAATGAAATAGTCTGTTCTGGTTCCTTATTAGCTCCCCAGTGCCTATAAGCTAAAACTTAAGCATGACACACAAAGGCCACTGAAGCTTGGGCACCAGTTTCATTTCCTGCTGCGCTCTGAGTTCACATTTGTCTCCACATCCTCCTTACCCGTCTCTGCCTGAAACACCCTTTCGAATTCTCCTTAAATGGCTAACTCTTTTTACATATGCTCTTCCTCAGGAAGCTTTGCCCCAAACCCACAGGTAGATTTAAATGCCTTTCCTTTCTAATAAGAGACCGCTTGCCATCCCATCCCTTACATCAAAATGTAAAATGTTAGACTACAATTAAGTTTAATACCTAGAGGGTGGCAAACTTTTACTTCTGTACCTACACAACCAGCCTGGTGCCAGTTTCTGGTAGGAATCCAAAAAATATTTGATAAACAGAATTATATGGAAGATAAAATGTAGTAAAGTTAATTTTTAAGTACATCTCATCAAGGCATTAGAAGTTGGGGGTCCATCTTGACATTACAGTACTAGAGCTCCCAGATGTAGCTAGTCTCTGCTACATTCAGACTCATAAGCATTTAAAATTGCTATGGGAGAATTCAGTTCGAAACAGGATAGCTACAAAGTCCAGAAATATAAATGAAATTATTTTTATTATATACTATAATGCCAACAATTTATTTTATATTTATCAGACATTCTAGTGTTTTCATGTAAACATCGATTTTGGTTAAGAACATTAGTGTTTTAATAACCTCAGTGAGGAACTTCAACCAGTCCTTTCAAAACCTGATAAATCTAGGTCTTCACGAAATGCATTTTAAAGGGAATGGCAAACAGACTAAACCACAAAACTGCAGGGAAGCAATTCCTCCTTTCTACATAGGCAATTATAGAGAGCACTT